AAGGATATGAATGAGGAGAGTTTATTGTTCTTTATCAGTAATAATATCAAAATTCATATGTTACGGAACTTGAGATCTTCCCCATTCCGAGATCGCCAAAATTTGTCTTATTTTTTATTCTACAAAAGCGATCGTCATTCTGAAAGGTTTAATTTCCCATAAATAACGAAATATATTCAGTTCTTGGCGCTTGTGATTCTAATAGAATTGCTTTATGGGGCAGAGATCTGGCAAATGGTTGGGGGTAACGTAATTACTAATCATGTAATTTTTTTTCTTTTAGCAGGTTCCAGATCAAGCGAATGAAACACTATAAATAAGCCGGATTTGTGAGGCTTCATTTCTTATCTTATCGAATTTTTTTTAAGGTATGTATAGCGAAGCTAGTGTCTTTGACACATAATATCTACGCAAATGTTACAAAGTTTCTTTTTATCCTTGAAAACGAAATTCTACTCACTATGGTTTTCCATATTTAGGAAAAACAAAATGGCCGATATTATTAGTCTCAATTGCCTTGTGATTCATACCGCCATTCCTGAAAGTATTTCTGTAAATAATATTATTGTGCTTGAGATTCCAACTAACAAACAAGTCGATATCCTAAGACCTATTGATTAAGGAACGATTTCCGTTTTGGTTTGAAAACATTATTCCTTACGAATTTGTTCTTCATAAGACTAGTGTAGATCTAATTCCAGACATCCACCAGCAAATTACAGCATATCAAAATGGGAATGGAGACTCTGGTAGGCCAATGTATCCACATGAATTAATTTTTAAGCATTTTAATAGACAACCTCCCAATGACAAAATTCATATTATTGTACAAGTAAATACCCAACCCCCCCCCATTAGTAATAGTGGATATGTATTTTATTTATGTCTGCAGTATATAACTGCGATATGATTTTTTATTTTATGTTATTATTTTTGTAACATTTTTTATATATCAATAATAAAACGGGTCATATTGACTTATTTTAATTATGAATTACAATTACTTTTAGTGAAGTCATTTACACATATTAATATAGATATGTCCCGCAAATCTAGAAAATAACAGACGAAAGACTCTAGATAGATTTCACTGATAATCTCACGCAGTATATGCAATTTCAAAACCGAGATAAGTACATTCAAAGAAAAGATGAAGATCACATAACTATAATAAATAAGAATACGCAAGATATGAAAGCGATTTTTGATTATGTAGAACTATGCAGGTATTTAGAGGTAAATAATTTTGATTTGGATATTCTCAACATGTAGCTGGAAATTGTCAGATATGCGTAATAATAACTACACTTTTTTTCGGTACTTTATGCTTACACTAAATATATGTATGAAAATCTCGACCGCCCGGGTCAGTTTATTGATATAGAAAAAAATAAAT